GATATCATCACGAAATGAACAAATCTGAGAGAGGTCCACATGTAGTACCTATATATGTAGTATCAAAGCAATTGGACTTGCGGTTTTTAACAAGAAGTCGAAAATATCAGTTTTTACCAAAAATGACAAAAATATTCACCAAAATTAAAGAATTAAAGATATCATTACAAAATTAACAAATCTGAGAGAAGTCCACATGTAGTACCTATAGATGTAATATCAAAGCAATTGCACTTGCAGTTTTTAACAAGAAGTCGAAAATATCAGTTTTTACCAAAAATGACAAAAATATTCACCAAAATTAGAGAATTAAAGATATCAACATGAAATGAACAAACCTAAGAGAGGTCTACCCAAGGTACATATACACCAAGTATCAAAGCATTTAGGCTTGTAGTTTTCAAGAAGAAGTCGAAAAAGTAAAACATTGACACGGACGACGGACAATCACTCATATGATAAGCTCCGCTCGACAAAGTCGACAGCGGAGCTAATAAAGGCCACCAAATACATGAACAACCACCAGCAACTTCTTGCAAGAAATAAAGCGCATGGCTATTTTAATAAACAATTTGCATGGTATGACAGCTTTTGTAGACAAAAGTTGACCCGTGTATCCTTAAAGTTTTTATTGTCGCTGGGACATTGTACCACAGCATAAAAATCATGATTTTCAACTACAGTCAATTCAATAAAAGAAATTCAAAACAAAAGTATCTTTGGCAGTGCAGAGATTTCAAAACAAAACTTTGGGTTTTTATGAAAAACAAACTCTTAAAAATCTATTTCAGGATTCAGACTACAGACATATTGTATAACATTTCGTAAAACATTTCTGAGCATCACATGAAAATATCAATTTGGTAAATTGAGTGAAAAGCAGCATATTCGATGTAAATAAGGTAGACCAGCAATTGTATACGAAACATGTGGAAAAGCTGGTGAATTTCTCAACATACAATATAGATACGATATAAATAAAATATATACCTGGCTGAGTCTTTCAATCGAAAGGGATGATCCACGTTCTTCATTCTGTTGATGATGGTACAGGTAAAAAAAAATACATTAAGGATAAGCATGGTGATGTGTTGATGGGAATGGGGCATACTGTCGAATCCATCTGTGCATGTGACGAGGGGAACAACAATCTGTATGATGAACAAGATTGACTTTTTAGTCTGCAGGGAAGCCCAGTGCATCCATGTCAATTTGAATTAATGATCTGCGTTGACATGAAAGGCAAAATAAAAGTTTCTCTTGAAAAATTTATAATCCTGACAGAAATTATGATGCATGCTGCCATGATGCAGAATGATTGGAATATAGACAGTTCCTGTGTTACGTACCATATGTTAACAAAATGCATGTTCAATGACTTATCATGCCTCAATAAAAAAACAAATATCGATGGTACATATGTAGCATGCAAGTATGAATATGAGGCACTTGCGAAAACAAAATTTCTACCAGTCGGCTACTTTTTCGCTAATTCAAAATGTTGCTAATTTAAAATAAAATATATTCTCACAATGAGATTGTTAGCACTTTAGCTAAATTAAGATTCAGTTAATTCATGCATGCATGGAGTCAAATCCGCTAAAATGACATGAACCAGTTTAAACGTGTTATACAGTTTTTTATATCAAAGTTATGTGCATCAAGGTCTTCTATATTTAGGCCAGAGATCTAGTTCCGAAATGGCAATTATTTATAATGTATTTTGCCAATAAAATTCCACCAGTCTGTTATCATGAATCAAATTGTAAAGTGCCATTGATCACCAAATTGAAATAATGAACTGGGCATACAAATGTTAGGTTCTATGACACGAGTAAAACGGTTGTCTCATAATTCTATAAGGAAGGAGACTATTGGGGCTATTCAGAACACTTAAGTCTTGCGTGCATCTCAGCCCAATCATTAATAGAAAATCATTAAAATCAAATCTAGATCAACAAACTTAAGATCCTGTGTGCGTTTAAGCGACACCTTAAAATTGTCTGTAAAATACATAGATATCTAACATCAGTTTTTTGCCAATTTGGTTGTTTTCAGCATCTTAGGGATGCATTCAGTTTTTAGTAGCTGTCAATTGTAAACAAGGAGAAGATATAGGTAATAGATATAGATGAAGATATTTTTTGTTGTTCGTCAAAGGTCATCAAAAAAAAAAATCAATATTCCATTCAGCTTTTATATTGTCTTGGCAACCAACTTCTAACAAAATGAGACACAAGAAAATAACATGGCTGCCAGTCAGCCAACTTGAAACAAATCACAAAACAAATTGACTTCCTCATTAACCCATCATGAGTGATGTTAATTTCAAGTATGATTCAAATCGCTCCATGCATGCCTGATAATCTGTTTGCAGGTTCAAATTTGTTATTTATTTTTAACAAATATAAAGACCAGTTGGGTAAAATTTATCAAAATCCAAATAACAACTTTCAACTAATTGTGTCTTGTTTTAGTACCAAATTAAAGCCAGTTGTATAAAAAAAACAAGCAGCCTGGCAGCTCAGATAGCTTCGCTGTTAGCAATGCACATTTCAATTAAATGGGAATCCCATGTATTGCACCAGATGCTCATGGGTAATTAACTCCACCTCTGTCCACTAAGTAAATGAATGCTTATTATGCTCGCTTAACTCAAACTGTGATTGACACGCATTTTGCATACATTAGCCGCCATTGTAAAACTCACAATTTTACTTGTCGCAGCACGTTTTGACTGAAAACAACTTTTATACATCAAAAGCCCAACCAGACTAGTGTAATCGCTAGCGTACATATTCATGCCCGCGTAGAAATATATTTGGAATCACAGCTTGATCTCTAAACATCGTAAATGGCACATTTCCCGGAGTTCCCGCCACGATGTGAGCGACTTGGTTCGGATTAGCATAATAACTGCGGTGGCCATCTTGCCCCTATTTATAGTATCGGTTCTCCTTTAAAGAAGTGAAGAGATCATTGGAAAATGAACAATATATGTAATATCAAAGCAATCGGACATGCAGTTTTTAACAAGAAGTCGAAAATATCACTTTTTACCAAAAATAGAGAATTTGAGATGAAATAAACAAATTCGAGAAAGAACCATCCAAGGTTCTGACTTGCAGTTTCGAAGAAGAAGTTATAATTGTAAAGTTGATGACGATGGACAATAGGGGCAATCAGTAATATGAACAGCTCCGCTGTGTCAACTTTGGCAACAGCGGAGCTAAAAAGTGCATTTTTGAAAAGAAAAGCTGCCTTCTGGCTATATTAACCCAAAGGTCATTATCCTGTTTTCATTGACTGTCAACTGCAGCATATAATAATTTACACTTGTGTGACAGACATGGTACAAATTGGAACCAGTTTATTCGCACGATTCCTTCTCTAATTCTAATCACAACAATCATAATGCATTTCTAGCACAAAAATGATTATCAGCCATCTTGTATCAGATTCTGTAATTACTATATGTGCAGATGTGTTGTTGTACATGATCAGTCCAGCCATGTTAGCAATACAATTCCAAAAACAGCATTTGTAACAAAATGACCATCACTCCGTCATTTTGAATCAAATCTGAAATAAAAATGAAGAGCATCGACGGACCATTTATGTTCAATAAACATATAAAGTTTGAATGAAATATGCCTGTGCACAACCGCATCAGTTAAGGAATGGCAGAAATGCTGCATTTTCAATCAACTTTTAAGCTTCAAAATTAAATTAATTGAATTAGATTGCTAAACAAATGCCTGTGCACGGCACGATGCAATTGTGAGCAGTCAATGTACGTCAAAATGGATACCCAACATATTGAATCATAGCCCTGCGTACAG